GAAATCGATTATTAAATCGATATTCTTGTTAAATAACTCTTTTGCAACTTCGACCTCAACTTGTGAGCGAAGAAGCTACATGTTTAAATTGTTTAAACAAATTATATAATAGCAGCCAATACCGACGACTATTATTGATGTACTCTTGAGTGATGGTTCGTTGTAAATAATTCATCAGATTCAGAGTTGTAATTAGACATTTTGGTTTTATTTAAAAAACAATAAAAATTTTGAAAGATTTTTTTAAAAAATATATAAAAATCAAAACGAATGAAATCATAGAGAGCAAGATTAAGGAACTTTAGACATTTTTTTATAGTCAAAAAATCAACTGCGACATTTACTTTATTCAATATAAATACAACTAATACAACTGATAATAATAAAATTTTCAAAAATAAATATACAAATATGCCGATAAATTACGCTGATAATAAATCATTATTGATAGTATGATTGTGTTCAAAATGCTGTATAAAACAACAATCGTCAAGTAAAACCGTATTATTCTTATTGAGCTTAAAATAGTAATTAAAATCTCCTTCTTCTTTTTCAACAGCTTGACGGTATTCTTCATTTGTTAAGTCGATAACTTCTTTTATTTCGTTATCGACTTGATCTTCTTTTAAAATATCGTTCACAAGATTCCTTGAATAATCGTTGAATTGTTTTGCTTCTTCACAATCGTTAAGAAAAGTATACCAGGATTTTCCGAAATAGTCACGAACATCATTCAAGAGAGAAACATATTCTTCATTTTGTTTCTTCTCTTTTAAATAAAGTTTTTTGTAATTTTCGTAAAGTTCTTTGTACTTGGTAATTTTTCTATTTTTCTTCAATTTGTGTTTTCATTTTAAGGTTTTTTTGTTGAATATTTCGTTAAGAATAGATTCCTTTGTTTCGTATACAAAATCCATTTTAAAGTTGTATGCATATTATTACATCAGACTATTTTTATATTTTTTCAATCAGATTACGTCTCCGATTTTTTAATTTTTCTTTAAAAGGTTTATCAGTCCAAATCCGTAAAATTCTGATTTGGAACTAAAGATTTATTTTTTTTATAAAGTATGTTTAAATAAATTAAACTGATTTTGATTTTGGCTAATTGATAATAAATATATACTTTATTAATTTAATTTGTTAAGCTAGAAAGGAACTTACAATTTTTATTTTAAACAATTACTAAACTGACGTTTGGCTTGTCAGTTGAAGAAGACAAATATTTGAAAATTAACAAAATAAACTAATAATTATAAACTAATTTCAAGAACTCTATTCAAATGGAAGTTTTGTAGAACAATCTGTTCTTGTAAATATTTTCAGAATGTAAATCTCGAACAATTTCTACATTAATATAAATTTAAACGCCATGCTTTATTCGTATTTTCCATATTTAGAGTTGCTTTATAATCACAATTTCTACATTAATATAAATTATTTAGAAGTAGGGGAAAAATTGAGATTCCTTCTTCAAGAGTAGTAAAATTTAAGATGGAACTCGAATTTTTTTAAAAAAAAATTGATTTCTAATTGTTTAAAAAAGTTATTTGTTTGAATTCAAAATCAAGTTTATCCTCGATTGCTTTTCTCAAATATTTTATATCTTCAACAGTTGCAATTTTTGTAAAACTCCGTTATTTAATTTCATGTGATTGATGATAAGGGAATGATAAAATCTTCTCCAGTAATTTGACAGAATCGATACCAATAAATTAATTTACCCTTCAACAAATTCTCAAAAGAGATATTTTTCAAGAATTCAATTTATCGACGTTTCTTCGGAATCACCGATTTTGAAGACAAATTGTATCAAATTTGTCAGCTTCAATTAAGAAGCTAAAACCAAATATTCTTTCTCGTTCAATTCGTTTAACTATTGTTATTCTTGTAAATTTCTTCATTCAGTAAATCTTTACATGTCATGGTTTCCAAATATCTAATTCTTCATCCTCAAAGAGTTTGACAATGTTTATAAGAAGCTTTTGGATCGGTTACGAAACTAAACTTCAATTTTGTTGGTACGTTTAGAGTCTTGGCTTGTCAGTTGAGAAAGACTTTATTGAGAAAGGAGAAATAAATTTGTTTCTTTGTACTGGAATCCAAATTACAATCTTTTCATTCGTATTTATTGACGAAGTTTTTTTCATCAAATATTAAATATTTGCTTCTTCTTTAATTCGAAGAAACCAGTAATTTGAAAATATCGAAAATCCAAAATCA